AATTTTTTAGTAATTCTTATGGATAATAGAATAAACACAGCTTTTGAATTTTCTCAGTACACAACATAGTACTCCTGATAGGGCTAACATGTTTCCTGTAGGGTAAATGATTGGGAATATTTGTAGTCACCATGTAACTCAGTGATGTGCTAAACAGTATAATAGTCAACTGGACTTTATTTTCTTACAGATATACTGGCTGCCTAGTTTCTTCATTTAGACCCTTTTCGTCATAAGATATAGTATGACCCCGGATATTATTGAAGCAAAATATCTAAGCAAGTCAGCCTAGGTTTCAAAGGTCATGCTTTTCATTTGATCTAATACCCCTGATCTGTTCTCGTGCATGTGTACAGCATTGCAGGTTTGAAAATCAATGTACTGGCTGTCCTTGAGATAGACCTGGGTCTGCAGAACACTACAGTTGAAGGAACAAATAAGAAATCATTTTTCCAAGCATATAGCAAGTGATATGCAAATACAGGTATGAAGAATAAGATAATACAACATCTTATTTTGTGTAGTATATAATGTGTGAATGGGTGGCACATTGGCTCAGTGGTCAGTATTGTTGCCTTGCAGCTCTGGAGCCCTGATTCCACTCTAGACCCACAGTGCTATCTGTGTGGAGTTTGCATGTTCTCCTCATATTGACACGGGTTTGATGCAGTCATCGAAGTCACAGCCCTAAAAAGCAAGTGACACAATAGTGCAGTGGTGAGCATTGCTGACTCGCAGTATGGGGGAGCCCTGGATTCAAATCTAGACCTGGGTGCTGTCTGTGTGGAGTTTGTACGTTCTCCCTGTGTTTGTGTAGTTTTCCTCCAGGTTACCTCCCACACTGGTAGGTTAATTGGCTTCTGGAGAAACTGGCCCGGCCGTCAGTGTGTCTGTGTCTATCTGCCCCGAGATGGACAGGTGTCATGTCCAGGACATTCCCTGCCTTGCACCCATTTCTTCCCAGGATAGGCTCCAGGCCCCCTGTGATTCTGATTTGAGTGAAGTGGATAAAAAATGGATGGATACATTCATATCTGATTTCTTAAGGCAAGGTTCCTTATGAATGAACAGGAGCTTTGTGTGGTCCTTGTGTGCACTTTAAATAATTCAGATCACAGTGAGAAGTCACTCACTATGCAGACATGGACTCTGCTCCTGTTAGCTCTGATGGAGGTGCCCTAGTACAGCATGCCAGTTAGCGTGGTGGGGATCTTGATTGGCCTACTGTGCCAAACCAGATGTCCTCTCCCCAAAAGCAAGTGAAGTCAGAAAAAAGTAGA